GTGGTTAGGGGACCCAGAAGAGGCGGCTATGCGAACTGGTGACCGTTCCCTGCCAGCTGGTGTCTCCTGGTCTGTCTGCCGCCCCTGGACAGTGATTAGAATAGTGAGCGACTAGGAGCTGCCCAGCTGGTGGGGCATCGGGCAGCTCCGCAGGAAAGGCGCAACCCAAGGGATCCAGCCACAGGTGGTCACTGGGCGGCCGTGGGCGAAGCTCCTCTGGAGTGGGAGTTTCTGGGGGCCCTGAGAGTACACAGCTGAGGGCCGGGAAGCGTGAGTGTGCATGTCACGGGCGCTGCAGAATGAACGGAGCTGCTTGAATGGCTGAGCCGACTACCAGGACTGACAGCTGTGCGTGGAGGACACGAGGTCACAAAATGTGTGGAATTGCGGAAGGAGTACCCGGCCTCAGGGCAGGGCGTGGGCTGTCTGAGAGTACTTTTCCATGGTAACTTTCTTCAGACCCTGGGTTCCAAGTGACCAGGGTCACAGAGGGAGCCGGGAGCAGCGTGTGCGCTCTGGCTCGGAGACTCGCAGAGGTTAACCACAGCAGTTGTGATGGCGTGCCTGCCGTGGGGCTTTTCCCCTGAAATAGTAACTCTACGGCAAAGCAGTTTGCAGCTCTCTCCTGAGTGCTTCTTGTGGCCGTGGCTGCTGTGGCCTGCGCTGTGCTGAGCAGGCCCTTGGGCATCGGGGTCGGCAGGTGGCGTGCACAGGCGTGGGGGTGGGCGTGGCAGGATCGGCAGAGGAAATTCCTGTGCTCACAGTTGCGTGAACTCGTTCCCAGATCACGCAGGTGGAACACAGCCTGTGCGGCTCCAACCTCATTTCCCTGAAGCGTGCTCTGCTGCTGTAAGGGGAGAGCGAGCACTGCTGCAGGGCCGCGTCCCCGGGCGACGGCGTCCGCCGTGCAGTGTCCCATCCCACCAGCCTGTGAGCCCCAGGGGCGGTCTACGTAGCTGACACTTGGACATCGCAGCCTTGGGGGCAGGAGGCCCAGTCCCCGGGTTGAAATCCCTGTCCCTGCCTCTCGGCGATGCTCTCTCAGCTCTGGCCCCTGGCGCGGCCCAGCACAGCCACATGACAGGCTGGGTGTGTGGGGCTGCCTCCCAGCACCGGGATGGGGTCTCTGACACCACAGGTCCAGACGGTCTTCCGTCACCAGAGAGGGGCGTGCGCCCGGCTGCTTCCTTAGGCAGTTCCCAGAATTTCGATGTGGGTGCTAGGGTCCTAACATCCACAGGAGGGGCCGCATGCGGGACGCGCTGCCCTGCGGGAGGGCTGCTGGCTGCGCCCTGCTCACCGGGACTCGCGGTGCCGCATGGCATGTCTGCTGCGGAGTTTTCCAGAGTCCCTCATTGTTCACCGCAGGAAGTTTTCCTCTCATGTTAAGTCCCGCTGGGAGGACACTGCCGTGAGGAGGGTGGGGTAATAGTGGGTGCAGCACGGCCACTGCTTTCCGGACTCAAGTGGCTGCGTTCATGCCGCCCTGAGCCGGTCCTGGGCGCTCTTACCCGGCAGCTTCACTGACTCCAGGATCCCAGCTCCAGCTGCTCCGTCGGCTCATTCATGAGTAATTGACGTTTCGGGAGTATTTTTTCTTCCAGACTTGGAAACACAAAATAGAAACTTTTCTGTTAGTTTTGAGATTGTATCAAGTCGCATGGGTTTTCTCAACTGACTCCGGTACCACCACGTCCGTGGCGTGGGGTGGTGGCACGCTGCGTGGCCGTCCCCCCGTGGCACGCGCATGTGTTCTCAGGGGCTGTCGCTTCTTCCACGCAGGGTGCCGGCCAGGATAAACTGGGCATCTACGTCAAGTCCGTCGTGAAGGGCGGCGCTGCCGACGTGGTCAGTACCTTTGACGTTCTTCCACACGTGCCGCGTCGCTGACTGGGCTGCCGCACAGCTGCTTTCTCGTCGGCTGGTCCGCACGGCACCGGGCGGTGTTTGTCCGAGGGCGGGTCTGGGTCGTGCTCACCGGTGCCGCCCATGCCCCCCATACACGTGTGCACCTTTGTGTGTTCCAGGATGGCCGACTGGCTGCAGGTGACCAGCTGCTCAGTGTGGACGGACGAAGTCTGGTCGGACTGTCTCAGGAAAGGTATGAAGGGCTTGCTGGTTCCGTGGGGGCGGGAGGCGAAGCCTGGGTCAGGGCCGGCCTCGCGTCGGCAGCCGTTTCATTTCCCACGTGGCGATGGCTCTCTCCCCCTCTCCTCCCAGGGCAGCAGAGCTCATGACAAGAACCAGCTCCGTAGTGACACTCGAGGTGGCAAAGCAAGGTGCCATCTACCACGGCCTGGCCACCCTGCTCAATCAGCCGTCACCCATGATGCAGAGAAGTAAGTGCCCCGGGGCCACCGTGCTCGCGCATGCAGTGTGCCCCGGGTGGCCCAGCCCCGCTCTCTGCGTAGTCACGGGGACGCCATGGTGTGAGTCGGGGCCTTCCTGGAGGGTCAGAGCGCTTCAGCAAGGTGCCCGTGGTTGATGCCCGAGACAGCCACGTGGGATCCAGCCGCCTTCCCCACCACGCCACCCAGCCGCCTCAGGTTGGGCCACGTGGCGACTCAGCAGCCTGGCTGCTTGACTTCTCACGCCCCTCCCCCGGCCTGGCACCACCGGGCTGTCAGCAGTGGGCGCGTGACCTGGTTCCTAATGTGGACAGCAAACTCGGGCATGGCCTCTGAGGCTCCCTCTGGTGCAGCTGCTACTGGGACGGCTCAAGGGGCTGAGGCTGTGAGCCCTGAGCAAGCTCGAGACTGGCCTGGCCGGCACAGTGACTGTCCAGATGGGCGTTGGGGCGTGCTCATGCCGTTCCACCTTGGAGGCTGGTGGACAGCGTGGTGCAGCGAGACCCAGTCTTAAAATGTCAGTACTGGGGCCACCAGATGGTGTGGTTGAACCCCGGACTCCCACATGGTCGACAGTGGTTCAAGTCCCAGACCTGGTGGCTTGCTTTCTCACTTACTCTCTTTCTCTCTGCCCCTCTCTGGTCAAATTAAAATAAAGAAAGTTAAATAAAATAATTCTTTTTTTTTAAATTAAAGTATCAGTACAGGGGCCAGCAGGTGGCGTGGTAGTTAGGGCATGAGCTCCCACATGCTCTTGTCTCTCTCTGGTGAGCGCACATGCGCTGTACAGAAATTTTAACAATGATAAGTAGATAGGGACCAGCAGTGGTGTAATGGCTGTGTCGCTGGACTCCCATGTGGTAGACTGCGGTTCAAGTCCCAGACCCAGTAGCTTAAACTTATGCTGGGTGCATGTGTGTGCGTGCCCAAGATCCCGAGAGGAGAATGGAGGAGAAGGGATTGTGATGTGGCCATACCCCCTGGGGGGTGATTTCTCGCTTTCTGTCTGTTTTTCTCTGTCTGTCTGGCGAGCACGTAATGCCCTATAACACCAAAAAAAAAAAAAAAAACTCTAAAAAAAAAAAGAGTAATGTATATGAAATTAAATCACATTCTTTTTTAAAAAAAAGTCAGTTTGTTTTATAGGGAGGCTATACGAATAATCTCACTTCTCAATGAAGAACTTAAATACATTTGTATGTAGGTTGTTTTTTCAGCCCTGTGTGGGTTGAGATAAGATGATTATCTTGTATATTAAAATAAATATAAAGTCAATGTAAGTTTTGGACTGTTTAAAGCATTACTTCACAACCCGCAGGAGAAAGTCGTGACTCACATTCCTTCTGCAGTGGTCTCGTACCTTCCAGATCACACCTGGCCTAGTGCACACCTTGCTAAGCACGCACGTGGCTGGGCACCACCCCCTCCTCCACAGTCTGAGCTCCCGGGTGGCCCAGAACCTGCTTCCCATTTGGTAGTGACCACCAGCAGCAGACGGGCCTTTCCTTCGCAGCACAGATGGACAGACAGACGTGGAGCTCGCTTCGGCTCCCGGAGGCTTTAGTTTGCAGTGTTCGTTTTCGTCATTTTTGTCAGAAGGTGCATATTCTGTCTGTAGGGAGAGAGTGAGAGCGAGCAAGGGAAGAATGCCCTCCGGCACGGCCACACGGCTCCCTTCTCCACCTCTCCCTCCCCTCAAGATTTCGGGCACCCACACACATGCGTCCGGCGTATTCCTTAGGCCGCCAGGTCTGGGACTTTGAACCATGCAATTGGTCGTGTGGGTAACCACCAGACCTGGCTGGCCCTTATCTCTCAGTTTTAAGAGAAATTAAAAATGGTTAGCTTTGTTACTTAAAACAGGTAAGTTTCAGTTGGAGAAAATAATCTTTGAAAATATACTTTTTCTGTCAATCCTAGTTAAATAAGAAGTTTTGTTATTCTGGATATATTTATTTGAAATCTTTTAGAAGTTTTCATAGGAAGTATCCTTAAATGCACATTGCCTTATAGCTTATGTTAAGTCCAATTCTTAATGGAATTTTTAATATGTGTGGATTCATCTTTCTTTTAAAGCAAATCAAGGTGTTGAAAATAAAATTATGAACAAATGAAGAGGTTTACTGAGCACTCTTTGATTTCAGTTTCAGATCGTCGTGGCTCAGGTAAACCCCGCCCAAAGAGTGAGGGTTTTGAACTTTACAATAACTCAGCTCAAAATGGGTCACCGGAGAGTCCCCAGCTGCCGTGGGCAGAGTACAGTGAACCGAAGAAATTGCCTGGAGATGACAGGCTGACGAAGAACCGTGCCGATCACCGCTCCAGCCCCAATGTGGCAAGTAAGAGGCGTGACCGTCCTGCTCCCAGAGCCCCGGCCACGGTCAGGAGCAGAGCCGCCGCCGGGGCATGGTCATCAGAAGGGGTGTCAGAGCTGAGGCTCTGACAGGAATAAAGGAAGGTGGGAAAGCTGAACTCCGTGTCCACTCTAGGCACGCCCATGGTTCTGGCTCCAGGCGATGGTTGGCACGTGACCAATAGGAGCTGAGGGGTTTCTACACATTTAAAGGGTTGTTCTCAAAAAGAGCTAAGGAAGAAACGTAGTGGGAATACAAGGCTGGCCAGGCCTGCAGTGTTCACCGCCTGGTCCTGTGCAAAGCTGCGTGCCTGCCCCGGCTCCTCTATAAGCCATGCAGCTCTGGCTGGTTCCTGAGTGAGGGCGTGCTCAGGGTGTTTCTCACGTGCTTTTTTTTTTTTTAAGAGGTTTTTGCCATAGGGTGCCTGTGTGCGGAGAGAGACACACACACACAGAGAGAGAGAGTGAAAAATCACCCCCAGGGGAGATGGCCACCCCAGAGACCCTTCTCTTCCATTCGCTTTCTGGGGTCTTAGGCACGTGTGCACATGTACCTGCATGATTTTCAAGCTACCAGGTCTGGTATTTAAACCGTAGTAGGCCGTGTGGGAGTCCAGCCACGCAGTCACTGTGCCACCTGCCTGCCCTGCGGGCCTTCCGTTTTCTGTCTGTGCTAGACCCGTAGCAGCTGGACGTTGAAAGAGTCTTGGTTGCTGCTCTTAAAGACACTTCGGCATGCTACATCAAGTTCGTTTCCTTGCCATGTAACTTTTTTCTGTCTTTTCTTGACAGATCAGCCCCCTAGCCCTGGAGGCAAAAGCGCATACACCTCTGGAAGCTCAGCGAGGATAACGTCGGTCTCCACCGGGAACCTTTGCACCGAGGTCTGGGAGCCCCGAGGCTTTCACTGTGCCCTTTAGCACTCAGAGTTCCTGGGAATAGCTGGGGTACCCAATGAGAATGTCACTCTGTGAAAAGCGTTAATTATAATGCCTGAATTTGTAGACTTGAATCTTTTGAATTTTCGAAATCTACTAATCGAGAAAATTAGTTTAAAATTAGTAAGTGGGCAAAACAGTGTTTTCTGTTATCAATAGATGAGGCTTTTCTGATGTTTCACCACATACATTACATACGCTGTCACTGCACTTTTGAAGTACATCATTAGAAACTAAATCAGTCTGCTGTGCCCTTGGAAAAGCTCGTTTCCTTTTTCCTTACTATTTCCAGGAGCAGACCCCTCCGCCAAGACCGGAAGCCTACCCTATCCCCACTCAGACGTACCCCAGGGAGTATTTCACCTTCCCGGCCTCCAAGTCCCAGGACCGGATGGCCCCCCCTCCGGGCCAGTGGCCCCACTACGAGGAGCGGCCACACGTGCTTGCAGACAGTGCCCACGCCGGTGCCATTCAGGTTAGAAATGGTTCTCACAGACGGCTCCACCCTCGGAGCAGGACAGGAGACCCGCTGGCTGGGAAAGCTGAGGCAGGGCTGGCTGACTGCCTCGCCGCGGGCCACCCGCGTCTTCCTCTGGTTATGTGGTTACGTCTGAGAGAAAAGGGGATCAGATATTCGATACGAAAGGGGATTCTTTGTTCTCTTAGTGTTTGCTTTGTGAAATGATAGCACTATAAAACCTTGATCAGTGGTATTTTTAGAGAAATGTTTGCGATAGGGTAGGCTATTGGGTGCATGCACTCCCTAGAGAGAGACAGAAAGCAGGGGTCACCCCCAGAGGACGGCCACACCACAACCCTTCTCCTCCTGGGATTTTGGGCATGCATGCACACGTGCCCCTGTGAGTTTCAGGCCACTGGGTCTGGGACTCGAACTGTGGTCAGCCCTGTGAGAGTCCAGCAGTGTAACCACTATGCCACCTCCTGGCCCTTGGTTACAGTCTTAAGGCGAGGGTCAGAGATGTAGGAGTGAGAAGTAACCCAGACTATACGTTCTGCACTTGCTTCTTTCGGAAACTGTCTGCAGGTGCAGCTGCCAGAACGAGTGGGAGACAGGGAGGAGGTTGGAACCCGGGCAGTCAGTGCAGCGAGGGCTGGGTCTGACTGTCTTGCAGGGACTGGGACCGCGAGCAAGAGTAGGGGGTTGGAGAGAGCACTTTACCCAGGGCTGGGGATGGGGTGGGGAGCACGGGCACTGAGAAGTCGGAGCTCGCTCTCTGGTGGAAAGGCCAGCGGTCCGTGTGGTTACGTGGCCCACGCTACCAAGCATGTTGGTTTTCGAGGGAGAACCGTGCCCTCTGTGGGCGGCTGGGTGAGTCTGGGTCCGGTGGCGGTGACGGGGTTGCCAAGTTTCGGTCCGGGTCTGGTGGTGTGATCGGGGTTGCGAGCTTAGTCATTCTTAGATGCAAGTGGTCATTCTGGAGCTGAGATGGGGTCTGAGCTGAGTCTCAGAGGAGCCCAGCACAGACGGACAGAGGAGAGGGTTACGTGTCAGCCCAAGGACGGCTCATGGAGACAGGAAGGGGGAGGAGGAGCCTGCTTTTTGCGACCAGAAGGTGACTGTGGCCACAGACGTCAGCAAAACCCCAGGCTCTTCCCGACCTGCTGCTGTGCATCCCACCCGCTGTGGGGTCCTGTGCATGCTGATGCCCCCTGTACCCACTTGGGGCGCAGATGCCTCTCTCTGAACCTCACAGATAAGCTTTGCCCTCCTTCTCCGAGTGTGGTTTTGTTTTTTGTTTTTTGGGTTTTTTATGAGAGATTTTTGCTATAGGGAGCGTGCATTCGCCAGAAGGAGAGAGACAGAGACAGAAAGCGAGAAGTCACCCCCAGGGGAGATGATCACGCCGCAATCCCTTCTCTGTTCTCCTTTCGGGATCTTGGGCACGCACACACACATGCGCGGTGTGGGTTTAAAATACCACGTCCTGGACTCGAACCAGGGCTGGCTATGTGGGAGTCCAGCGACATAGCCATTACGCTAACTGCTGGTCCCTTGGAGTGTGTTTTGTTAGAACTTAGCAAGACCTGCTTCCTGTGTGTCAAGGCGGTTGGGTTTTATTAAATTTGCTGTAGGGACATGTGCTGGCCAGAGAGATGGAGAGAGAAAGGGTGAGCACCCGTGGGGATGGCCACGCTGCCGTTCCTTCTGTTCTCCCTGAGAATGTTGCTCTTGCATGCACATGTGTCTGATGTTCGTCAAGCCACTGGGTCTGAGACTTGAACCATGCAGTCCGCCACGTGGGACCCAGCCGCCCTACCCACCGTGCCGTGGGCTGGCCTGGCAGCCGTGCTTCGATGCCCCTTTTCTCCCCGCTCAGGAAGTAGCATTACGTAACCTTCATATTGTGGCTCAGAACCGCCATGCTCTGTCTCAGCAGATGGGCGGCAGGGGAAGGCAGTCGGGAATCTGGGAGGCAGGGGCTGGGAGGGTACAGATCATGACAGGGCTGGGCGGTGGGGGCAAGGGAGTGAGCGCAGGAGCTTGGGGGAGGCCTGAGAGGAGCCCAGGAAGACTAGAGCCAGAAGACTCGGCCTCCTCGGCCTGCGGGCGCAAGTGCTCGGCCCACGCCCACGTAACCCGCAGTGCTGCGTGAGGCCCACAGATTGTACCGGGGGGTGCCATTTCCCGTGTGCCCAGGAGGGCTGTGGAGCGGTGGCGGAGTGTCCTGTCGGACTGCTATTTCGTAAAGTTGTATTTTGTCTTTCTATTGGTTTGTTGTTTATGGAAAAGGAAACGGTTTATTTCCCAGGTTTGCGTCTTCCGTCTCTGCTCATTAAAGGAGTGGCAGGAAGATGCCCGCTCGGACGTCACAGTGGTCGCCCTAGCCTGGCAGACTGTTTTCAGACATGCCAACGTGGGGACTTGAGACAGGCCTTTGAAATGTGTTCATTCCTCTCTCCCCCACCTCTCTCACGTAGACACACACACACGCTGTGTGTGGACCGGCAGCTTGTGTGACCGCCATGGCCGAGACCTCTCACGGGCAGAGCGGGCTGCCGGAGGTTAGGCTTGCTCGGCATCTTGATTCCCAGCTCCAAGAGGGCTCGCAGATGTGGTGGACGAGCAGCTCAGGGTTAGCAGCTCCCGGGGTCCCGTGAGCCCCGTCACCTGCTGTCCATGGACTTGGACTGAGCATGTCCTTCGTGCAGGTGGCAGGGCGGGTGGCCAGTGCCGTGGCGAGCGAACCACGCTCATGTCACGCATGGGCCAGGCATGCACAGAGGAAGCGCGTCCCTCCCTCCTGCGCTCCCAAGAGCTGCCTTTGCCTGTGGAACACGCGCACCGGGCAGTCTCGGCCTACCCTCTGCCCCTCTTCCTGACTCGGCTGGGTTTCTGCCTGCAGAGACAGTGTTTGCAGATTCTTCGTGTTGTCCTTGGTTAAATGGCTGCAATATCAGTTCTCCCTTCTCTTTTCCAGCGTGTTACTCGGTCCCAGGAAGAACTTCGAGAAGATCAGGCTTACCAGCTTGAGCGACACCGAGTTGAGGCGGCTCTGGAAAGGAAGTCAGACAGCGACATGTGGATAAACCAGAGCTCGTCCGTGGAGTCCAGCACCTCCAGCCAGGAGCACCTGAACCACTCCTCGAAGT